CAAAACACAATGTGAGACCTGATCATACAGAGTCAGTGGACTACCGTATTCTTAGTGCAAGGGCATCTGAATTGTGCTCTGTCCATGGTCAGACACATTTGGGCATCTTAGAGATGGCATTTGACTCGTGAATACTACTCAGGTGACCCTTTTAGATTCACTGGGAATTGGTTTGAGTTCAATAGCCCTTTGTTACAGTTTTCTACATCTCACTTAAAATCCCTAACTACGCTTCCCTCCACATCTAATAGTTGGTAACTATGTTTAGCTATATTCTAAGAATTCCTATATTATTATATATAGGAATTATATATATTGCCACATAAGAGTTCTCTTAACAGAAATAACTTAAACTTTTAAAAAACTTACTACTTTCAAAATATTTAGTCCTAATTCTAGCTTTCATTTGATCTCTAAATTCTTAACCTAGTACAGGTTCTATTTTTTTTTTTGAAGTACATAGACTAGTGTTTATTCTCAAGTTTTCAATTTTGCTTTAAATTACTGCAGTAATGTTGACTCATATTCACTTATGTCCAAGATCCTTTTTCAGTCTGAAACATTCCCCTGTATTTATGTATCTCACGGAGCAGCCTTTGCTCTGTCAGTCTCTATTACAGGATCAATTTCATTTTATTCGTCATCACTGACAATTTACCAAGATTGTTCTTCTCTGATTATAATGGCACAAGTGCTGATCTTAAACCATGCTTTTTGTCTCATTATTGAAATAATTTATAAATCTCTTAATAGATTTATGTTCTTGTTGTTTCTAGAGGTTGATGCTTTCTCATTAATATTTACCCTAAGAGTAACTTTCTTTTGCTTGAGTTTATTAATGGAACTGTCAGACCCTGTCAACCTGAAAAAAGTTGCCGTCTTCAATAGTCTTCCATCCTGCTGGTCTATCATCCTGCCATAAAACAGCTAATTAGTCAGATTTAGAAGCCTTATTTACTAACGAGCTCACCAACTCCACCCTTAGTACGTTAGTATGCAATTCTGATTGTAGATTTTCCTTACTCAGTTGGATTGGGGGCAAGGGAGACATGTAGAATGGGGAGGCGGACATAAACAATGTGGCATTTCCCTGCTGCCCCCACGCTTGTCAGCTGCGACCAGAGCAAGATAAACAGTGATCTATTTTCTCTTCTGAAAAGATCATTGTAATACTACCTTTCATTTTGTAGTACATTTTACAGTTTTCAAAGTTTTAAACACATTTTTATGTCATTTTATTTTGCTCTTGAAATTACTTGATATGATTTCCCTATTTTACAGGCCCAAAGAAGTTAAGTGATTTTTACCAAGGTCACAGCAAATGGCAAAGCCAGATTATGCAACCATATTCAAATTCCAAACTCGTTCCATTATATCCATTAGCATTTTTATTTTAGCTACTGTGATCTTCCTTCCACCATTCTGTCAGTACTTATGCTTCTTAGTTAAATCTAAAATATTGCATAGCTCATATTCAAGTCAAATAACGTCAGGTGTAAAACCCGTACTTCAATTTGTGTCAACAACGTATTTGTTGCCCCATACCAAAGACTATTCTCTAGCCTCAAACTGTATACTTTTATTATTTTCAGGACTGAAAGTTAGCACTGGTAAGTTTGTTAATTAGCTTAACTGTTATCTTCCAGTCCACCTTTTTAATCCTAATGAACTTTTTCTTTTGGTGCTGAAGCAAGGATACCATGATCATACAAGAAACTGTCACTGATGTTGACAATATTTACTGGTGTTTGTTTTTTCCTGTATCATTCTCTACTCAAGATGCAGAGACTTTTAGCAGCCACAGCATGTTTAATCTTTGGGAGACAGATATTTTACTATGACCCTGTTTGGGTAGAGCATGAGGTTGGCAGAACAATAATCTAACCCCAACTAGCAAGGAACTTACAATGTAGCAGAAAACTCTGACTTCTCTCCCTCAAGGAGAGGTTCTGCTAATCTCAAAATCACATCATTGGTTATGATTTTAGATTGAAGATTATGGTTTGCTCAGCACTATCAGAAAAGTAAATTAAATTGTCATATTTATATTAAGGACTATGCCACTAGAAATACTATAAAAAAAACTAGATAGCAACTGACAAAGTAACAAAACAAACAACAAACAAGACTCGTGAGCATATGAGAATAGGGCATCAGTGTGGCATCAAGCACAAGTCAATTTAAATGCCTACAAGGAGAGGGAAGTATGTAATCCTCTAAACAGCGATGAAGTCTGGACCTGCTATCAATATCCCAGCTGGCAGGCTAAGCAGTTTCATCAACATCACCAATGACTCACACTAACAGAATAAGGTCACCAATAATGAGCACTGGGAATAAACTCAATTTTATCTGAAATGAAGTTAACATCTTTGCATTCTAACTCTGCGGGGTTACACAAGTATAAAGAACAGATGCCCAAACTGCCACTATGTATTGAGTTTCCATTAGTGCAAATACACAGTAAGAAGGCAAGAGAAAGCACAAATTCACTAAACCAAAAAAACAAAAACTGACGAGCCAACACTGCAGTGATTCCCTGAGATGGGCTAAAATAATATGGAAAGTTGGTGTAGATACCAATCAGAAATGAGTGGCTCTTTCTGTTTGCAGGCCAATATTAATTTATGAAACAGAGACAGCTTATAGTTTCAAACCAATTACAGTTACCAAAGATCAACCTTCATGTGTACAGTAAGTACACTAAGACCCTATGAGAAAACCACATAATGGCATTGTTGGGTTTTCATTCATACCTGCGTAAATACATATACACATGAAGTAAGCAGCAGCAAATTTACAGATGAAAAGCAACAACTTTTTTCCCCAAAATAATCAGCTTCATCTGAAAAGCTCAAATTCACAAATAACACTTATAGACGTTGTCTTATTTTACTCTTTTTATAGGCAGGATAGCTGGGGGTATATAAAAATTAACTCACTTGACAGTCAGGGGGTTGGTGGCAGAATTAAACGTCTTCTCACTCACAAACCAGTTTAAGTCTAGTAGTCTCAATGAAAATATTTTAACTACTGTCAAATTCAGCATAAGAAACAGATATTGAGCATAATAGCTAAGTATCTAACATGTTGTTGTTGTTGTTATGTGCCGTCGAGTCAGCCGTGACTCATAGCGACCCCTCCTTGGGTTTCCCAGGCAGTATTACTACGGAAGTAGGATTGCCCAACCTCCTTCCGAGGAGTGGCTGGTGGGTTTGAACCGCCAGCCTTCTGGTTAGCAATCAAGTGCCTTAGCCACTATGCTACCAGAGCTCCTAGTATCTAACATAGCTAACATATAAATACCAAACGAATTCCTGTGAGCAGATCCACTTGTATGTCGATCCTAAATTTAGGAAATAAGTAGCTTTAAACACACTTCAGACTCCAATAAAAAAAGGAATTATGACTAATGTCTACAATCGACCATTCACACAGGGGAACTAAGCACCTACTATGGATGAACAAAGGATTAGGAACAAGAACACCAGGACAAGATCCTTGCTCTCAATAGAGCCTGTAATGTAATAGACAAACAATGTAGAATGTGGGTAGCACCATCATGAAGACTGAAATGAAGAATCACAGGAGTTCACACTCATAAGAGTTAAGCCCTAGAAGACTGAGAAGCTGTATCAAGTATAGAAAGAACTTCCTAGATGTTCCTGGAAGCAGTGGCAGCATAAGAGGGAGGAGATGAACTCTGTCACCAGATTTTCTGGCATTTTGACTAGAAAAAAAGGCTGCACCATTAACCAAAATTGCCCTACGAACAAAAAGACAATAAATATGACAAATCCTTCATCTAAGTAGAAATATCAAGAAGGCAGTTGAAATTACAGGTCTAGGATTTTGGTTCAGACATGCAATGCAGGACACGCTGGGATCAAACAGAGACTCCAGGGATGAGACACCCACAGATGAGCCAGAAGCACTCTGAGGACAAAATGTGTGAGAACACATAATAGTAGGCACATTTTAATACGAGTTCTAAGACAACTCAGAGTGACAGCATAGGATAACATCTTCAGTAGAGAAGACTACGTCTAGGAAAGGTTGCTAAGTGGTGTAAATATTGCAGAGAGAGAGAAGGTAAGAGATGCAGACTGAGAAAAACATCATTTGATTGGATCACTGGGAGCCTACTGTCAACTTCCAAAAGAAAAGATTCACTGGAGTGTTGTGTAAAACCTGACTACCCAGTAACTGAGCAGCGAGTGATTAAGATGTAGGAACAATGGAAGTGGACCTCTTCAAGAAGTTAGTGTGGCAGTGAGGAAGGCTGGAGAAACCAGCAGGTTCAGAGGAAGTTTTTTGCATTTGAAGATACATAAGCATATTTATAAGTCAACAAAAAGGAACCAGCATACAATTCTTTGTATAATTCTGTATTGATAACAGAGACTTAAAAAAATCATTTTAAATCCTTCTCAAAAACATTTTCTGAAATGAAAATTTAATATTAAATTATATGTATTTTATCATTTAAATATACTATAAACTTAAAAGAAATAAATTTTATTTCTAAAGGACAGTACAGTTTTTCTTACTAGACTATGTCAGATTTCATTTTGCTCTAATCCATCATGAGAAATGAAATTTTATTAACAATTGCTATTTTCATTCCAGAAAGATTACTCTGATATAAAGGATTACACTGAAGTAATAATGATGCCTTCTTCCCCACCTCTCCTACCCTGAAGACAAAGTATCTTCAGGGAGTTAATAATCTGTGTAATATTTTTCAAGTTGAAAAAGAGAAAAATTAGAAATAGTATTCCATTATTAATTAATTCTTAAAGATCTAAATTATTCTTCACAATGTTTTTTCAGGATAAAACATGCTTACTTACTATATACACATGCTTACATATGAATTTTCTGGCTAAAACACATGCAACTAACATGGAAAAACAATTAAACCAACCTAACAATCCTAAGAATGCCCTTTCAAACAAGGCACTCATGTTGGAAATAGGGTTTAACCACCAAATTAAAGAAGATATTTAAAAGATCTTTTATTAAGCACAACTTTTTAATACATTATCAATACAAATAGGAAAATGTCTCTTCATGAATATGATATATCAAAGATCTGAAGGGTTTCTCCATATTAACACAATAAAAATAATCAATTCTGAAGAAAAATTACACAGTAAAATTTCGAGGACACCACTGTCTACTAATAACAGTTGAAGCCACAGTCTAAATTTACTACATCACCTGGGGAGGAAGGGCAACCATTTTTTCTATAGAGAGCTCCTAAACTTTTATTAGCACCATTCCAAGCTTACTATCAGTTGTTCATCTATAAACTGTCAGTCAGATAAAGCTTTAAAGCAAGTTTTCAGTGCAACGTTTACAGTTCTTTCTTTTAAGATACTTGGAGTCTATGGTCTCAAAGCCTGTTAAATAATTATGCCTTAGTAGCTGCAAGGTGTTAACGTTTAGAGAAAAATGTATGATAAGAAGAAATGAGGCTTATCTTGGCTGTGAAATGTATCTTAATGTATTTTGTCTAATGCTGTACAGTATGCCAGCCACATGCGGGATTATGAACTGTAGATCTGTGGGGATCTGGTAGCTATTAGCTTTCTGTGGTCACCATGTCAGGATGTCTCAGCTGCTGCCTTTTAAGACTAACTAGTTTCATCCTGTCTCTGATGTGCTCTGCAGTAGAAGCCATGTCACTTGGACTCCCAAAGTACTGTTCAGTTCTAAAAGCAAAACAAACAGAAAAATCTCAATCAGATAAAACACAAATCCACTGACTGTAGCAAATGCCTAGGGAAACAAAAGTTACCATAAAAAAGTATCTATTTGATATGGCATTTGTGCAGAAATTGGTTCATTTGCAGACCATCATGTTTGAGCAGTAGTTAACTCACTAGGAAAAACATTTTTTTTAAAAGCCATAAAATATGTTAAGATATGTTGAGAAAAATATATTAGTGATGTAAATATGTCATATGTATATTACTTATGATAATTTCCATAAACCAAACAATGCAACATTCAAGATATTCTTTTTAGTTTTGGTTCCATAAGCATTCACAACCATGAAATTTGTACATGTGCTTTAAATATACCAAGCACATCACTATCTCATATAGCCGGCAACTAAAACACCCTTTCAATGTTAAGACACCATATGGGATAGTAATAGATAAAAATCATTTATCTTTCTTGCAAAGATACTGCCTCATTTTTTAAGATCAGAAAATTAGTTTAGAAAGCTACCCAGTGGGAAAACCAGTATTTAAACTTACGTTTTCATGCAGTCAATCCAGAGAAACCACCCATTTATTTTATTTTACCAAAAGAATGTACAAAAGATAAATATGAATAACCTTACAAAATATAATCTTGTCAAACAAGCTTTACATGATATAAAGAGACTATCACTATATTAACTATGAAAAAATATTAGACGCCTTTAAAAAACATTGAACTTAACAAAATATCTAAAATAGATACATATATTCTAGTATGAATAAAAGATGGAAGAAAATAACAGTTCCAAATATTAAAGGTAGGTGTTTGTAAAATTTGAAAATTGAACACTAATTTATTCTTTTTATCTTTAAAGTATGAGGAAATGAGACAGAGACAATTTGTGGAATACGGGAGGAAAATCCCAAGCAAAACTACGAGGGACAGATAGATGCTCAGAGTTTGACCAGAGTAGAATGAGAGACTGAATGACTGACAAATGGCTGTGAAGTGTAGAAATGGATGGTCTTAGAATGGAACAACCAGCAGCATCTCTATAATATTACTGGTTGAATTTATAAGTTTGGAGGTTTTATTCCCTTTTATTGCAGATATGCCGAAGGCATTTGACTGTTAACCAGAAGGATGGCAGTTCAAATCAACCAGCCACTCCTCAGAAGGAAGACTGGGCAATCTATTTCTGTAGAGATACCACCTTGGAAACCCAAGAAGTCGCTATGAGTTGGGATCGATTTGATAGCAATGAGTTTGGTTTGGTGTTTTTTATAACATGACTTTAGGCTACTTCTGATTGCTTGAGTTTAGGCAGGCCTAGACATTGTCTAAGATGAACTACGAATAGTGTTTTCTAGGAAATAAAATAGTAATGTCTCATTATCAATTCCAAATAATCACCTGTGGTTCACTGCATGGCAGATGTCCTTACTATATATCTTTTATGCTTTAAGTACTCTGCAAACATTGAGCTCATTTAATCCTTCTGTCCCCATAACCTAAGGAGGTATGAGTATTTTCTGCACTTTTACATAAAGAACTAAGACACAGAAAGGATAAGGGGGTAGAGTTGAGATTTAAATTCCAGACGTTTGATTCCAGAATTTACACTCTTATCCATTACACTAGGAGCTCTGGTGGCATAGTGCCTATGGCATTTGACTGCTAACCAGAAGGCTGGAGGTTCAAACCCACCAGCCACTCCTCAGAAGGAAGGTTGGGCAATCTACTTCCATAGTGATACCTCCTCGGAAACCCAAGGAGGGGTCGCTATGAGTCAGGTCCGACTCAACAGCAGTGAGTTTGGTTTTTTTGGTTTTATCCATGACACTGTAACACAATGTAAGGATAGTTGTACTTTTATTCCTTGGTTTGTATTCTCTATCATTTGAATGATCTACCCTCTACATTACCTTTAAACTATTTTCACTGAAATGGTATAGATCCACAGGGATGAAGCTCCTTTTGAGTCTTTTTATTTTACATCTGATTATTTCATATATTTACAATGGAATATTTGAAATGGGAAGAAACATGGGATAAGGACTCCAGTGGTTTATAAATGAAGATATTAGGATGCCATAGGGAAAGTGAAAAGAGAATGGATTTGCAGCCAGACACAGCTGAGACTATCTCAACTCCAACACTTAACAAGCTGAAAGCCTGAGCACTGCACTCAATTTTCCTCAGCTTCAGTTTCTTCATTTAAAATCAGGAATAATAATAGTAATACTTCAAAAAAAAGGTGAAGTGCTTAATCCAGTGTTTGGGTTATTATGAGGTCACTAACATTAGTCCCTTTCCCACCTCTTCCTTTCCAGAAGCCTAAAGAGGTATCTAACATGCCCAAAGTCACACTACTCACTTACATAGTTACAGCCACGGCTAAAACACCCAGTGTCACAATCTAGTCAATGATCTTTCTTCCACAACAAACTGTTAAGATGCAAGATATCTGATGTCAGCAAGTACCAGCTGTTACTATTACTAAGAGCCAGGTCTGGATTTCTTTTAATTTTAAACCAATTTATTGTAGCAATTGAAAATGTGCATCAAAGCTAATTTACATGGCATTTTAAAGATTTTTCTTTCTTGATTTTACTTTAAGACCTCCTAAGACTGTTACAAGAACTTGCACCATACCCATCAGGATAAACTACAGGAACAGTTAATCTATCCAAAAGTGATTTCCCAACTGCTTCAATCTCATCAAATTGTTCCTCATCATTAATAGCTTCAGGCTCTTCTGGACAGTCTTGCAAAATCTGCAACAAATAAAAGGGAACATCATTCAAGACACATAGAAAGGGAATCAAGCTCTTGCAAATTAAGTAGATTGAAAGCACTGTTTTATTTTTAGCATCTTCATGAACCTATTAAATTGGACAAGTTGTTGTTGTTGTTGTTGTTATGTGCCGTCGAGTTGAACCTGACTCATAGCGACCCCTCCTTGGGCTTCTGAGGCAGTATCACTATAGAAGTAGATTGCCCAACCTTCCTTCCAAGGAGTGGCTGGTGGGTTTGAACTGCCAGCCTCCTGGTTAGCAGTCAAGGACCTCAGGCACTATTCTACAAGTAGGCTCAAGAAATTTAAACAGAACCCAATGTATAATTTCTACTAATAAAGTAAAATTGGAGTAGGGAAAGATCTATGGTGATTTCTAAGAAAAAATAATGCTACACTACTATTTGGAAAGTAAGCTCAATTTGAGCTTAAAAAGTATTCTTTCATTCATTAAACCATCATTTATTGACATTTACTTTAAATATGTTTATTTAACAACTTGGGATATGAATGATATGGATTCTATCCTTAAGGAGCTTACAGACTTTCAAAAAATGACAAAGAAATTATTATTTAAAATATGTACTCAAAACATAACAGATATGATGACCTAGCTAGATACTTCAACAGTTATTTCAAAAACTGATCTACATTACCGATGTAAACTAATACAGCAGCTCTACAGTTCTTGATAATATTATTTCCCTCCTTAACTATTACCACCTTAAATTTAACCATAAGAAAGGACTGCGAAATTTGGGGAAGGAAAAAAAAAAAAGTAGTAACTTTTTTTTGCATTATACTTTAACAACTCAATCATGTTTACGTTTATTCATAAATGGACAGTTTTAATTATACTTTAAATTCTAAATTATATTTAGACATTCACCTAATACTATATAAGTTGCTTCTAAAATTGTGGTCATCTTTATGATTACTAGAATAAGCAGCTCTGGTAGTACAGTGGGTATGGCATTTGGCTGCTAACCAGGTTAGTGGTTCAAACCCACCAGCTGCTCCACGAGAAGAAGATGAGGCAATCTACATAAGCACAAAAAAGGTCATACAGCAGAAAAAACAGAAACATTACTTTTGGATTAAACATTCTCAACTACTTTCATGGTTACCAGGGATGAGAGGGGATGGAAGGGTGAAAAACGAACAGTAAAAAAGAAAAGAAAATTCTCAACCACTTTGATGGTTACCAGGGGCTGGAGTGGAAGGCAGGGTAAAAACAGAAAAAAATTAAAAGTAAAAAAATCTAAAACAACCTTGCAGATACATTTTCAAAACAATATCCTAACAAGTTATCAGTGGTGTTAGAAATCAGGTCAGGTCATTCTTAGATGAGAGAGGAGGGTGTGGGGGTGTGACTATAAGAGGGTTGGGGAAGAGCTTCTGGTATTTTTCTGCAGTTCCAACACTGTGCTGATTATACAAGTGTGTTCACTTTGTGAAAATTCATCAAGCAGAACACTTACGATCTGTACACTTTTCTGTGTTAATATACTTCAATAAAAATTTTTCACTTAAAAAAAATTAATAAACAATTTAAGCTATCTTGTATACTTTCATTCATCGTCATTAGGCTCATTTTAGACCAAATCACTGATCTGCAAAAGTTCAGTGACCAGCTCAGAAAGATTTAAATATGCACACTTCATAACAGATAGACTATATAACACAGAAATTGCTTAATTTCTGAGGTTCATTGCAACATTTGTTCTGTTCTACAGACTAGGTTATGTTTATGCATATCTCTTAAATGTAAGTTTTCATCATAAGAGACCAAAGCAACGTTAACTACATAAGAAAGCTGCTATTCAGAAAAGAAATATAAGACTTGGGTGCTATAAATTGTCACTGTACAGATTAAGAAAATGTTTCTCTTAAAAGTTTGCCCAAATAGCACTTCATATATCATTTTTGAATTCTGAGACTAATGACTTGAATTCATTGACTAGTAAATTTTGGAGTGAATCTTTAAAGAAGCTACATGAATAAAAATGTATTATTCTTATAGTTGGACAATCTCTAACATTCTAAAATAAAACACTGTCCTTTTTTAAACTTTGTGACAATTAGTAGCAGTTGCTGAAGCTGAACTTACTTTTCTGGCACAGTGAACAGACCAAAGTCATGACACCCTACAGAATAGAGAGCACATTCCAGGCATCAGGCTGGGTAAGGGGACAGCAATGTAGAGAGAGACTACCAGATGATTCTGGATTTCTCCAACACAGTACTCTAGAACTGCTATCAGTTATTAAGAGAATGTGACTTGAACCATCCAAGACAATATATATTACATCTAAATAAACTCTGGAACTAGTATAACTTAGGAAAAAACAAATGAACAATTACATCATCATATGACTAAAATTAAAGCACTTTAAACACACCAATATTATATGGTTGTTGTTAGGTGTTGTTGAGTCAGCTTCGACTCATAGCAACCCTGTGTACAACAGAACGAAACGCTGCCTGACCAATATTATAGCAGAAAATATTTTATAATATATACAGTAAATATTATTGACATTACATTTTCAAAAAACAAACCTTTTCGGCATTTGAGTGAAATGCAATAGCCATTTCCAACCTATGTACTCTCTCTTCAGAAGCTACTGTAAACTGTTTCCACACTCTGTTCAGTCGAGGAAGCGTATCCCCAGAGGATCGAGAAGTGCAGCGCAACGACTGGCATAGCACAACCGTGGCCTGTAGCAACTGTCTTCCATAGTCATAAGTGCTCTGAAAAAGAACACATAAACATGAATTTATAATAAAAGAATTCTGAAGAGAAGGATAAAGAGAGCATGGAGGAGGACTGCAGATGCAATTAAGTAAGATTACTAAAAATCAATGCTGCCTGCAGTGGCACTTATTACTACTAATTATTAATTAGGCATAAATAATGAAGAGGAAGCACTATTTCTAGTTTGCATATAATAAGTTTCTTTCTGGGTAAACTTCCTCATCTTATTATGTTTTAACCATTTCAATCTACTCAATTTCACTGGCCAAAAAAGATTATCTCCTCACTAATTGATTAAAAATAAATAAATAAATAAACCACCACACCCATCACTGTCCAGTCAATTCTGACTCATAGCGACCCCATAGGACAGAGTAGAACTGCACACCATAGGGTTTCCGAGGCTGGGGGCACTGGTGGTGCAGTGCCTAAGGCATTTGACTGATAACCAGAGGCTGGTGGTTCAAACCCACCAGCCACTCCTTGGAAGGAACACTGGGTAATCTACTTCCGCCGCGGAAACCCAAGGAGGGGTTGGTATAAGTCAGAAGTGACTCGACGGCAGTGAGTTTTGGTTTTTTTTTTTTTTAAATATTTACAGAAGCAGACTGCCACATTTTTCTCCCAGAGAGGCTGGTGGTTTCAAACCACTAACCTTTCAGTTAGCAGCAAAGGGCTTAACCACTGTGCCAGCAGCACTCCTTCAATTAATTAAACAAATAGGTGAAATGAGGTACTTTGTATTCCATATAGGAAAACCACAACTGTTATACCATAACTCAATTATTAGGGAAAATGAATTCAGATACTTTTACCACAAAAACAATTCAGAACTATTATACTGACCCTGGTGAGAAGAAAAAACTGGGAATTTTAATTTATTGATGGTAACATGTATTTTACATTAACTTCTATGAAAGAATAGTTGGATTACCCCAAATATAGATAACATAATTTCGAGGGAGCATACCAAAAACCAAACTCACCACCATCGAGTCGTTTCTGACTCATAGCAACCTCCACTGGATTTCTGAGGCTGTAAATCTTTATGGAAGTAGATCACCCCGTTTTCCTTCCACAGAGCAGCTGGTGGGTTTGAACCACTGACCTTCCGGTTAGCAGTCAAGTCCCTTTATCCACTATACTCCCAGCGTATTCAGGGAAATGAAAACCCTCTCAAGTGTACGCAGGCTAGTTTTGATACACCAGCTAACATTTTCTTAAGTCTGTGTTATTTCTGGAATAACAAAACTAACCTTCTTGGACTTGAAGGGTTAAGTCACAATATAATCATGCAGAAAGCTATTCAAAGACTGAGCTTGGAGAAAAGAAAGATAACCAGTTCTGCACCTGTGCAACATCAACAAATTTTCTATGCTTCTCCAGCAAAACTTTTGTTTCCTGAGCATCATCACCCAATCGGATGTGGGTCTTAAGTAGTGCATCCAGAAGTTCACTTAGCCATTCTACTGCCTAAATGAAAACAAGTAACAGTGATGTGGGATTCATAACTCACCATATCAAACATCAAATTTACAAAAAGAGATATAACAATCATGTGATTAATGAATTCATTAATTGTAACCTAGTTCTTAATAGTTTATTTCATTCAGTGTCAAACTACATGAACTAATAACCTTCTATTCCCCTCAAAATTTTTTAAATTTGAAGAGAAGACGTAGTAAGAAAAGCACTCTTTTAAAATGACTATCACATGATTTATATTAATAGAAGATTATGTGTTTTCAGTAATATAGACCTATTGGGATCTCATTATAGAATTTTTGGTACTATATAAAATCATAAATTCCTCTATATCAGGCTGAAATTACATTCTCTGATCGTAACTACATAAAGATATCAAATTGTTAACTGGCACTGAAAAGACCTCTTATAAGTGACAAGGCAATGTGCTATACCAGCCTATATCCTGAGATGTAACTGGCTGCCAAGTCAACACTACATAATAAATAATCTCAATTTCCAGCTCAACAGAGGATTTCATTGGGAATATAAGTTAAATAAGCTAACTGGTACCACAAAATTTTATTATTTTGACAGAATAAACTAGAACCTAACTTACTAAATTTATTTTCTCAGGGCCATATAAAAAATATACTTTCTGTTTATAGTAAAATGAAATTAATCTTTTATGTAATGACAATTACATACTGTGGTTGACCATTCCTTACCTGGGCAGCATCTTCTTCACATTTAAACAACTGCACCATCTGAAGCATCTTTAACCTTCGCACATCTACCATGTCTTCACATCTAATAAATTCAAACATAAATTTAATATATTATTTCCATTTTATTGATAACGCTTACAGCTGGTACACATGTATAGAGCCATACTACACTGTATACTAACATACTCAGTCCTACACTATGGAGACTGCAACTATGCTGTGTTGTACAAATTTTAAGGAGATCTAGATCTAGAGCTACGCTACATTAAAACCTCAAAATACCTGAATGATACTGAATCACAAACCCTCTTGAAGATAGCATGGATTCTGCAAAATATTGAAGCAAAGCATAAACACAATAGTACACTAAAACCCAGAAAAATCTGTTGCCAATTTGCATTCAGTGAACTTCAAACAATAAAAATATAAAGTTTCTTAAATACTAGAGAATGATGTTCTAAAGACTTTTTTTTTCTAAATTAACACTTTTCATTATATATATAAAACCAAAAACCAAACTCACTGCTGTCAATTTCGACTCATAGTGAGCCCTCCTTGGGTTTCCGAGGCATTATCTCTACAGAAGTAGATTGTCCAGTCTTCTTTCTGAGGAGTGGCTGGTGGGTTTGAACCACCAGCCTTCTGGTTTAGCAGTCAAATGCCTTAGGCACTATGCCACTAAATATATATATATATATACACACACACACACACACACACACATACATATATTTAATTCTGAATAAAAAAATTAAAATCCCATCTCTCAGTTCTTAAGGGGTTGGGGGAACCCTCCATTGATCTCTGGGTATAGAGAAACACAATTCAGAATATTTTCTTAGTTTTACTGTGGCCTGTCTAGATAACACACCAAGTAAACTTTTAAGGTTATTTGACCTAACAGCTCTGATTCATTTCTTTCATTCCCTTGAAATTCCATGTCAAGTTGGAAGGGGAAATCTTATTATAGTCTCAAATACCAATAACAAGTTACCCAGAAGGTACTGGGCTACACAACAGCTGATGTCCTTAAAGAAAGCGTGATAACAATACAGAAGCGGTTATCACAAGGCTATTTCTTACCACAACACCTTCAATAACAGCCCATGGCATAATGTTATAGTATAACTTAGTGTAAGTAATTCTGCAAAGGACTGAAGGAAAGTGATGATAATTATTTTAAATATCTGATACTAAAAAATAATAAGAAGAAACTTTACTGATGATGATATAATACATATATTTAACACGTTACATTGTCTTGTCCATGGGAAAATGTGCTGGGGAAAAAAGTAAGACATGGTCTCTACTATGAAGATGCTCATTATTTTGGAAGATGGAGTTTTAAATAAACAATGACAATACCTTATGATAAATGGTATTACAGAGATACATAAAAGTTGTTATGGGAACAGGAAGGCGTGAGTGACTAACTTGTTTTGGAAATTCAAAATGGCTTTCTAGCAAAAGGATCCCTGAACCTTGAAGTAGGAATCCAGTAGGCAAAAATGAGGCAAGAAGTACTCTAAGTTATGGATGCATGAAGCAGATGGTGCATTCAGGAAAATAAAAACAGTTACATGGTTTTGTGGGAAAGTTAGATAAGATTATGCAGGATTGGACTGTGAAGCTTCTTATACACTATTCAGAGACTGAATTCCATCTGAGAAAATAAGAAGTCATCGAGGAGGTTTTATATAAGGGAGTGATGTGATTAGGTGTGCACTTTACAAAGATTACACTCCTATACAACAGCCTGGAGAGCAGCAAGGCCAAGGCTGTTAAGAGGTAAGATCTAAACAAAGAAATGTGCAGAGACAGTACAACTTGGACATTTCATTAGATGGTAAAAGATGATAAGAAGGAAAGATTTTAGGATAAATCCCAAATTTTGTAGCTGGAGGCACTTTTAACCTAGTTAGGAAATTAAAGGAGAAGAGAAAGTTTGGGGGCAAGATGACTCCAATCCAGACATATTGGACTTGATAAGTATATAGCTATCCAAGTGATAATACTCAGTAGGCAAATAGAATGAGAAGTCTAGAGTATAGGACAGGGGTCTGGGGAAAGCCATAACTATTAAATCATGATCATCTATATATAAAAAAGTAGTGAGATTGTCCAGGAAGAACATATAGAAAGAGTGCAAAAATAATTTGGCTTTAAAACAAACCCTGAAAGCCTAAAACTGGCTAAATGACTTCAGTGAAGAAAAGTGAGAAGAAACAGTGCCAGGAGAGACATCATGAGGGTGTTTTCACGGAAGACAAGGTTGTCAGGGAGTTTTTCAAGAATGAAGAAGTCAGTTGTGTCCAATCCTACTCAGAGTAGTCAAGCAAGGTGAGGACTAAAAGTATGCAATGGATTTTGAGTGAGATAAAGTATTTATTATATTTGGCAATTACAAAGTCTCTGGTGACATTAGAAAGAGCAAATGCAGTGACATGGTGGGGCTGAAGAAGTCAGACTGTGAAAAGTGAACTGGAGGTAGCGAGGAAGTAGTATAAACACAGAGGAGAAAGGATCAGAACAGGGAATAAGAGTCCATGGAGTAAGGAGCCAGGAAGGTGAAGACATGGAGACTGGCTGGCTTTGATAAGAGAACTGTATTATCCTAATAGGTAAGAATAACTAATGAAATGGGTACGTTTGCAGATAGGAGAACAGGATGTAGAAGGAATTTCTGCCTCATGAGGTTTTATTGATGATGTTAACAATTTCTAAATGTGTAAAAGTTTCATATGACCATGCTAGAGGTAAGCATATGTGCATACATGATTTTACTCCTTCATTCTGTACTATTTCTCAGTTGCTACTGCAAATTAAGGAGACCTTGGGTGGTGTAAAAAGTTACATACTTGGCTACTTAACTGAAAGGTCCGGGGTTCAAATCCAGCTAGAGGCACCTAGAAAGAAAGGGCTAGCAATCTACATCCAAAAGATCAGCCACTGAAAACCCTGTGGAGCACAGTTCTAGTTAGACACATGTGGGGTCACCATGACTTGGAAGCAACTCAACGGCCACTGATTGGTTTTTTTTTTTTTTGAAATTACGAATGGACTTTAAAAAATCTTTTAAATTCTCCGTTTTATACCAAATGAAGCTAAACATCTTACACAGAGTCCATTTTTTTCTAATCCTTCTACAGCAAATATGGAAACAGGGGATGTGTGACTTAGTGGGTAAAAAGTTTCAATGAAAAAAAACAGTTCAATGGAGATGACAAATTTAATAGCAACTCTAAACCAAATAAAAATAGAAAACTGAAGTTCTCAAAAAGGATCTTCTTAAAGCAGGAAAGTTACACAGGCTCTCTTGGGGATATGAAATATGAAGTAACTGAGTATTAATGAAATGTTTACTACCAAATAGAAAGGGAAAAGATAACCAATAATTGAACAAATTATCATTATTTGTTACTATAATTATATAGAATAGTTATTAACCAAACCTATCATATGCTACTATATACCATAAAAACTTTGTATGTGAAAGTATATATATATATAGTACATAACTTTTACTTTTATGGATATTGCTTTCTTAATGAAAATTAATATTAGTAGTTAAACTTTGCCTTTGTTTCCTAAGCTGCATATCTTCCATCACTCCTTGTATGTGGTCCACATTTTCTTTATTTTCAATGGTTACATCCTTTCCATAGGCCCAAGATGCCTGATTGGAGATCTGATCTAAAAGACCTTGACCTTTTTCACGTAACCCTTGCAATCCCACATCTAAAAAAAGAACAAAAGTTAGAGTTTGTTTTAATCTAACTAAATCTAAATTGTGTAAGCTTAATCTCTTATATAATTAAGGTGCTTTTCCTCCCTCAAATAAATCCTCTCAGGATACACTGCACTTAAAGTGCAATAGCTTTGTACATTGAACTGTCTTAGGATATAGTCCTCTGAATATTTCAAGCAATAAAACTCCTTTAAATGTGGCCAAGCTGGAGTTCTTTCTCATGCCAAATTTCTCCCTAACAAGAATTTCCAAAAGGTAAATTTATTTAGATAATAATTACTTTTAAAAACTGAAAGCAGGAATAAAATGTGAGAATTTCTATTTTCATTAAAACATTTTTCAACATTTCCCATTTCTGTTTTTAAGTAGTTCAACTTGTAGGAGAACAAAGTAAATATTTTGTTTAAAATAAAAAACTCGTATTGTATATGGTAAAGTTTAAAAACTGTTAAGGAATATTCCTGTTTCCTGTTTCATCTTCAAGTTTTAAAAGAATTTGTGCTTAATTCACTATATCTTCAAACAAAGCAAGACAAAATGTATAACAGTTATAAGATTTCAAAGCACTCATACAATGTATGATCAATGCAAAAGGTAGCTGATCATTTTGAGTATAAGTACTAGACTAGCTTACAGGCCATGGGAAGCAATATTTAGGATATGTTTATAAGACTCCAAATTAGGTATGTACATAGGAATTATTTTTTTCTTTTTTAAAGGAAAAGCATGACTTAAGGAAACTTCTGACATTTAAAAATAAATTTCATTTGGCATATTAAATACTATATGTGTATTAAACAAATCATGTTAAAAAACAAAAGCTGTAAGCAAGTATAAATGTGAAACATGATTTTTCAAATGAATTCCCTGAAGTCCTTTTCAATAACTAATTCATTTAGTGCAATCACATATCACCAATTGCTATGAATTCTCTGCCTTAAATTCCTGCTTCCTCTTCTCCACTGGCCCTTCCCCTAAATAGAACCCCCTTCCCATTTTCATATCCATTATTGATCTCTCCAGTGATGATCTAGGGAAGCTCACTTATTTCCTACTCCAGAAAAATGTCAATGGGCTTGCTATTACATGACAGAACTAGCTTAATAAACTGGACTACCCACCCGTTGGAGAGTGTGCAACCCTGGCACTAAACCCAGTTGGGAGAAAGAAACATACAGAGCTAAATCAACTATTTTCTCACAAGGTTAAGATATAGCAACAGAAAAAACTATCGCATAAAACACATTTTTGATCATACAGCATTTACCACAGAACACTTCACAGGTAACTAAAGTTTATACATGCACTACAAATAACTGCTCATAGTATATATATGCAAGACATAGCACCTGTACATCCATCTGGGTAAACAAGAAAGGCTAAAGGCCCAATGAAGGGAGGAGTGACTGACCAACAATGAAAACTAAGTATTTTAGCATATACTCCCACGTAGGGACTAAAACCTTTTATACTATTTTTTCCTTGTAAGTAATCATAGTTAGTTCAGTGTAAGTTGACTGAATTATCTAACCACAGTAATGATATTTTAAATAAAAAAAGCCTTTATGTTTCAGCATTTTTAAAATCTGCTTACCAACACTTTTCAGCTTCTCTTCAAGCAGCTTTAAAGTTTGCTGAATCGATGCTCCATCAGCTGGTGCTACGTCTACGCACAACATCCCTAATAAGCCATCCAACTGCTGAGACAACTAAAGCAGAGGGACATCAAAGAGATAACCCTGATGTAATCGCCATCTGAAGTGTTTCATGGTGAACGAGGTGTATATCTAATGAGGTTACCACAATTGCACTTGAAAAGACTAAGCAGTTAAAAGACCAGGATGAATAATTAGAACACGTTACCTAAAAGACAGACTACACAGATGCATGCAACAGAAAGACAAAAAAGTGTATCCAGGTCAGACTGTAAAAATTATTGAAACCCCTATTTCAATCTGTGCTATAAAGCATAAACATTGAGAAATAACTGAATGAAGTATTAGGTTGGGACACATATTTAGAAAACAGAAAGTTAAACTGCATGCAGAATGGTTTAGAAATAAAAACTAAAAAATAATCAAAGAATCTTATTTCATTCATTTTCCCCACCAGTAAATTATTTTATTGTTCCAGGAACATAATTAGGAGCATGCAAGTCTGCAAAAATTATGTGTAGGTAAATGTTTAGATAATTTGAAGAAAAGCAAAGCAATGAGAGTAGACACTTACATCTTGGGCAACCCCATGAAATTCAAGAGCTGCTTGTAACAGATTTTGCCTAAACTCCAGCTGACTGGCTTGTCGATAACAAACATCACTAAGCTGCTGCTGCAATGACTTTAGTTCCACAAGATCTTCTTCATCCCCAGCATTCAAGAGTGCTGCAATTTGTTGATTGAGTTCCACATATACTGCAAACCATTCCTGTAATTGAGAAGTTGCTCAGTAAATTAACAACCAAATTAGTTCCTGGACGACTACATTATGTATTTTCTCCAGATAAACTGTGTAACAATTATGTTAGAGCCAAAAAACTAGAGGCATCTGGTTTGTGTAAGGCTATGGTCTACACAGTTGGAACCCCAACACCATCTTGAACCTTGACCTAAGTTCAGACACCATTTTCAGTTCTTTGTATTACTTCCCCAGTGTTTCTGACCTTGACCCACCTGTGTGACCATGATAATTCCAGGAAAACCTAGGGAGAGGCAGTAGCTATGATAATTCTGGGAACACTCAGGGAAGGGCATGTTGATCTCAGGAAGAGTATGTTAATAAGAGTATTAGAGCTTAAATTCTAAAGCACTTTTGTCTTTAGAACCAAGAGGGAGCGCTAGCTCCACTTTGAGTCTTGACATAAGTTCAAATCCACTTGAGCTCGTTGTGATCATCATACCAGCAATGTGGCTACACTTAGTAAGTACGGAACAAACCGAGGGAGGGGCAGTTTGTTCTCAGGAAGATTGTGACTGAAAGTTGATTATGCCCACACCAAGAATTAGGGAACTTGCCTGGGTGTGTCCTTAATGATTTATTAAAACAGCTGAATGCTATGTAATTTAAAGGTTGGGGTCCTGGAATTGTCTTGTAGCTACATTGTGGCTACAACTCAGGGCCTCATAGTCATAAAGCATACTCCCATGACAACACAGCCAGGTGGTCAAGCCCAGAACCAATCCTGTGAAACTTTTAATCTTCAGTTATATACGTATCCCAATCATGGTCCTTTCCTTGTTTCTGTAGTCCCACCTGTGGCAGTGATAAACTGACCTGCCACCAATCATGATTTGGTGCTATCATATGTAATTAGCCCCAAGGCCGAGACTCAGAGGACTCCATTTGGCTTTTGTACTATGTATATGATGATGTTTTCCTTCTTACTAGATGACTATCTTTGTTTTGTCTTTGTCCTGTCTAAGGCTTACTAAGGGAGCTCTGGTAGCATAGTGGCTACGGCACTTGACTGCTAACCAGAAGGCTGGCGGTTCAAATCCACCAGCCACTCCTCGGAAGGAAAATGGGGCAATCTACTTCTGTAGTGATACTGCCTCGGAAACCCAAGGAGGGGTCACTATGAGTCGGGGCCGACTTGATGGCAAACAACAACAACAACAAGGCTTACTAAAAGTGTCTTTACAGAAGATGTTTGATTCTGGGGTCATTTTCCCCCTAACACAGTAGGGTCAAAAAAAGGGGCTTATACAAAGAACTAGGGAACTTTCCTAGGCAAATCTTTTTAGAACAAAGAAGACATTTTGAGAAAGGGCAGTTACCACCCTTATCTTGTTCCTATTTTGGGTTATTGGACCAATGAAGACTCTTCTATTACTGAAAAGTTGTACCATTGATTAATTGAAAGAATCAATCACAGTGATTCAGTAATTTTAGCATGTCTACAAAAGGACGAAGCTTTTAATGATCTGTAATTTTCATATATACTGTGATATGGACTTTGTAATATTCCTTGGACTCTGTAGACACTGTCCTGATGGCATGTCTATTTCCCACCTTTGTTTTTCTTTGCTGCATATGCTAAATAAAAATCTCTTTTTTACTACAATAACTTCATGGTAATTTTCCCCTAGGACACATTCATAAAAAATTTTTAAGGTAAAATTATTTAAACTGACAACCAAAAGTTCCCAGCAACCAAACCCTACTACCGTCATCCTGAAAACTCACTGCCTGCCAATAGCAAAATCTCCTTGATACTCATCCTGGCCTCTAAATGTTCCCTACTCTTTCTTGAGCTAAGTGAAGCCTGTATACCTTCAGAGAAAACAGTGCTCCTGCAAACCCTCTCCAGTGACTATTGGTTTTGTTTCCACACCTGACATATCACAAGCCTGGGAGCTGAAGGACAGAGTCTTAACGTGTGAAAGATCCCCAGCTTTGGGTGGCTGGACAGTTGAGGGTGTGCTGGTATTCAATATGCAAAGATCTAACTTAAAATTAATTAAAATGTCATTTCCCATGAAATAGGAGAACAATGTGTAGACTGTTAGGTGAACTGGCTACAGTCAGTTAGTTACGGCTGTTCTCCAGGCTATCTTTGTTGTTGTTGTTATGTACCGTCGAGTCGCACCTGACTCATAGTGACCCCTCCTTGGGTTTCCGAGGCAGTATCACTACGGAAGTAGATTGCCCATCTTCCTTCTGAGGAGTGGCTGGTGGGTTTGAACCGCCAGCCTTCTGGTTAGCAGTCAAGTGCCTTAGCCACTATGCTAGCAGAGCTCCTATCTTTAGGCATACTTAATTGTGTGGCAAATTATTCTTTTATGGAAAAAAAAAAAAAATCACCCAGATTTCAGATTAAGACAGTAGGTAAGAAATCAGCTTGAAAGTTCATGTATCAGAACAGAAGCAGTCAAGATGGACACTGGAGTTGGTAGAGAGGCACAGGTGGTGAAATGATGGGTAGTTTATACCATGTGATGGGAAACCCAGTCTAAAAGGAAAGTAACATTGCCAGCACACTTTGATTAAAAAGGTGTATGTTTAGGATATATATAGTGGGGAGAAATAACTCGATTTTTCACGTAGACCTTACACTGAGCACACCAGCGGAACTCTATACCTGCTTCAGACTTCTGTTCCTACACACTGCTGCCACCCACTTAGTCCCACCCAAAAGACAAAATTGGACTTACTATTAAACTGAAATATTTTCAAATTTACTGTCAGTTACTATAATCATTTCCTTGGACCCTAATTTTTTTGTTGTACTTACCTAGTATTCAAGAACTAAACAGCATCTAATTTATACTCCTTGACAAAAATATACCTATTAGTTTCATTTTCTATACATTAGTGCTGAATATACTAATAAATTTGAGCTTATTTTTAGCTTTATATCAACATTTTGCTTTTACAAGTAATCTGAAATTTAACATGTAAAGGAGTACTTCAACACAAAATGATGCGTTAAAAAATTTTTACAAATTCTACCCTGTCAATGGGAGCTCTGGTAGCATAGTGCCTAAGGCACTTGACTGCTAACCAGAAGGCTGGTGGTTCAAACCCACCAGCCACTCCTCAAAAGGAAGATGGGGCAATCTACTTCCATAGTGATACTGCCTCAGAAACCCAAGGAGGGGTCACTATGAGTCGGGTCCAACTCGATGGCACATAACAACAACAACCCTGTCAATATACTAGAAATTTATCTCATCATTACTTAAGAGATTAACAATTCCAATAAATGTTTTAAAGTGTTGACTTAAAAAAATTCATTTAAAAGCTTTTTAATAAAATATTAAAATATCTTAAACTGATAAGCTTATACATTTAATCCACCATCAAACAATCTACTCCCAAGGTGACAATGTAATGTCACCTATTGGTGAAAACAATGATCTTTTACACCTTTTAGAACAGAACATTGCAAACATTAAAAAATAATGAAAATCCACACACCATTCAGCTCAATAATTATCAACTCATGGTGAATCTCGTTTAATCTATGCCCCCATCCACTCTGTCTACTCCTCCCAATTTTGGAGGAAAAAAAAAATCTGTGATAAGACATCAATGTTTCTTTTCTTTCAGGACCATGTGTATGAATGCAGATCTCAATGTATGTACCTATGTCCCAGGTATTAAGAATATAAGAATGAAAATATGCTACAGTTTAAGCATATCTATGAAATCAGAGACTGGGTATCAGTGATCTGTGTATTAATCCTAGTCCAGGTACTTACTCCTCAAAAAAAGTAGTTTCCCAGTTTCTTCATCTATAAAGTAAGGTGGTGGTATCAGAATGTATAAGTTCTAATGATCTATAACTCTAATTCAAAAGTTATGTAATTATATATTCCTCCTCAAAGCTGATTTAATAACCTTATAAGCAAATGTGATAGAAATACAAAAACATCTAAAACCCAGGAATCTCTATGTATTCCAGATGTAATTTTATTCATATTTATATGCAATAAAATGTACTTTTAAATTTTTCATAAACTTACATGCAATATGCATATCATCTAATTTCTAACTACAGTTATTCCTTTTTATGTTTTTAACAAAGTAAGATGAATCTTCTTCAAGATTCTAATGTGCCAGGTACCTTTATTAAAAAAAAACTTTGGGGATATTTTCGTAACATCCTCTTAGATGAAGTCTAGAATGTTCTACAGGAAATAATGGTTTCAAGAAATGAAACCAACCAACCAACCAGTGGTCATCAGTTTGACTCAGACTCATGAGATGATAGGGACCAATTATAGAAGATTGTTGTGCTACAGTAACATGCCCCAGAATGATACACAAAATTCAACTAAAGCACAGTCCATGTCTAAAATATGAACAACACTAAGTTCTTTTAAGAGTACCAAGAAAAGTCAAGGGGGTTATAAATTTGATATATATCAGTTGGTAATGATTTGTTTTAGGATACAAGAAAGAGCTATTATTATGTTAGAACCTGAGAAATTCACAGTATAGATTTTTAAATTTTGGGATTTCATTTTTTAAGTCTCTTGTAAGTACTAATTAGGAAAATTACAGGAATTTATATGTGCTATCTTTAGATGATTCCTATCTTGTAATATCTCATTTTTATATATTCCCTCAGCTAGATTACAATTCCCTTAGGTACAGTGTGCAGATGATCTGCCAATACTACTGATTTTTAAAGCTGCTTTGGAGAATACTATAAATAAAGCAATATAAGAAAATCTAGAAGAAAGGTGCATATTAAAAAGGAAAATAATTATGTTACATATTGTTAAAACACATCTTTAGCAAAATTCAAATTTATTCTCCAGAAGAGAATATTCAATTTTTATTCATTAGTTGAAATATATATTTACTAAAAGTACCCAACTTTTCATTTCTACTTTAACTAAAGTAGTTGATGGGAAAGGACAAAAAAAAAAAAAACCTTGCAGAAACAGACTGTTCAGAAGACCCTTAAAACTCATCTGGGCCCAGAGTTTCACATTGTTATCAACTAATTTTTAAGGCAGATCATCTAAGGAAATAGAAATTAATCGATTCAAGTTTTATTTTCCAACTGTCTATTTAATCCTATTTAAATAATTTTAAGAAATAATTTAAGAAATATGACCTAGAAGTAGGAAACTAATTGACCCACAAACTGGAAAGATGATAATTTTGAAATAATGAAGAGTTAAGCAGAAGCTTAACAAATACTCATTTCTCCATATAATATAAATTTTAAACCCTCTTAAACAATTATTATCAATGAGCAGACTGCATTAATTTATTTCCCAGTTTCATACCTGTTATCTGCTTGATTATTCCCTTCACAATTAAAAATGTGAAACCCTAAATGCAGATGAAAAAACATTCTGAGCCCTCTGTATTCACTCTCTGTCAATTATGTTAAATGCAGCAATTCTGGTATTACTCTCAGGTTAACTGTTCTGGGTGGCACACATGTGGAGTTGCCATGAGTTGAGTTGACTTGGCAGCAACTGGCATACACTCCTGATAAAGCAAGGAAAGGCTCCTTTCTGAGAACTAATGAATCGTAGCTTCTGTCTTGTGAACTACAGATGAAGGCTCTATATTTGTACTGTCATTCTTCTGTTATGATAGCCTTAAAATTTCACACCAATTCATTTTGATAAAAATACATGATTAAATTATAGGATAGGTAAAACCTAGTCCAACCTTCTAACAAGTACATACTTAGTCAAAGTATACTTTATGGCCTCTAAACTAAATTAAACATGCTATACTCTGTGCTCTTATACCAAAGTTTATGGCAATTGTTCATTATCAAGTATGCTACTAATTATGTACGTTAATAACAGTACTGTAACTTGCAAAGGAAAAAGCCTCTCACACTGTGCTGGCTCTCGATCTCTTCGTGCTTCTGCTGCAGAGCTTGGGAAGCCCTAATGGAGTCTCCAATCCCCCACTGGGCTCTTAGTTGTTCTGATCCAGGCCCTTCAAGCCAGTTCACAACCTATAAATGAAAGTTGGCATAACATTTTAAAATAATCAAAAGCTCATAAAATGTTCATTCTAATTGCTTTTCCCCTCCAAAAGTTTCTCCAGTGTTTTTTATTTAATTCCTTAAATTCTATCACATAGGTAGTAAATGTCTTTTGGAACTATGGAGCTGTATTATGACAAACTTTCCAAAACCTAAGTTGGAAGGAAGGTTGGGCAATCTACTTCCGTAGTGATACTGCCTTGGAAACCCAAGGAGGGGTCGCTAAGAGTCGGGGCTGACTCCATGGCACATAACAACAACAACAACAACAACAAAGTTTGGAAGAATGCACACTATAGTATTTTAGGCTGGCAGTTATCTGATAATCTGTCAGGCTGAAAGAAATTTGGAATGTTCCTATATAAGAGGATTAAAAATTAATTTATGATGACAAAGAATAAGGGAACTATAGGACTTAGAGTTGAAAGGGACATCAGAAATGACATCAGTCAAATTTCTTATCTGACACTTAAGAAAACTGAATTCTGCAGTGATTAAGTATTTGCTAGGACTAAAAGCTTGTGTCCTGATTCATAGTCTAATGATTTTCACAAAGCATTGATAAAATTAAGTAAATTAATGGATTAATATAAAGTAAAAATATTTCTCTCATTTTGGAAAGAAAATTAAAAACTAGAATTATACTACTTCTATACTCTCTAGGGATTTTAGGATTAACATTCAGACGCACAAGACCATGAAAGTTCCAGCAGTACCAGTATACCCAAAAGGATGCAGGATGGAGACTGTGGTTTGCCAGGAAGGCAGCACTGAGCATTCCTTTTCTGCCAAGTATCTGCAGCAATCCGGGAGTTCAGGTGTGAGGAGGTAAGGTCCATATGGGGTGGATGTGCAAGACACTAGCATAAAACCTATAGGGGCCATGAGTCACTAAACTCAAGGATGCCCAAAGTTACGCTTTCCTATCACACACTAGTAGTTTGAGTCTAGACAACAGTTTAGCACTTGTTGTTGTTATGTGCCGTCGAGTCAGACCTGACTCATAGCGACCCCTCCTTGGGTTTCCGAGGCAGTATCACTATGGAAGTAGGATTGCCCAACCTTCCTTCCGAGGAGCGGCTAGTGGGTTTGAACCACCAGCCTTCTGGTTAGCAGTCAAGTGCCTTAGCCACTATGCTACCAGAGCTCCCCAGTTTAGCAGTTAGGAGTCATTTTTCTATAAGCAATGTTGACCAGCACATAGCTGACAATTTTTTATTAGGTTTTCAGGAGAAAAGAGCTAGATACTAAGCAAAAATCAAATATTCATGCAGAATAAGAAAGGATTTTGTTAACTCTTCACCCTTACTCACTATACTCTGAAACTACATAGACACTTTGAAGTAATTTCAACAGAAACAATATAACCAACTTTATTTGCTACTAAATTCTAAAAAGGAACTCAAGAGTAGATGCATGCCTGGAAATGAACTCACCCTGTGGCTCAACTTTCAGCCAGATTGACCTACATGGTGAATAATAAAACCAGGGAGGTGGGTTCTCCATTTGAGATCAGTAAGGCAGCATTTGCCCAAGGCTAAAGCTTAGAAGACAGGAAGGGCTAAGAGAGTAGAACCAATGGAAACGGTAAACACAGGGCCCCAGAAGTGGGAAGAGTGCTGTTACATCATAGGGATGCAATTAATGTCACAAATCAAAATGTGTATGAAATGTTGAATGGAAGACCAATTTGCTTTGTAAATTTTCACTCAAATCACAATACAAATTTTTTAAAAAATTAGATGCATGGTTAGGTCCTAAATCTAAACTTAGAAGAGCTTTCAAAAAGTGAATGGAGGTAGTCTCTGCAGCAGTCGATACTATGCCCACTGGACAGGTTGACTTTAGAATTTAAAGACCCATAGTGGATTACCCCTGGTAGCATAGTGCCTAAGGCACTTGAGTGCTAACCAGAAGGCTGGCGGTTCACACCCACCAGCCACTCCTCGGAAGGAAGGTTGGGCAATCTACTTCCATGATGATACTGCCTCAGCAACCCAAGGAGGGGTCGCTGTGAGTCAGGGCCGACTTGACGGCACATAACAACAACAACAACCAGGTTAAAACATATTCATTTTAAAATCTAAAGTTCATATATTTTTTTTTGTATAATTGTAAGAAAAAAGTACATTATAGGGGAAAATCATGTATATTTCCTGCCATTAGCTTTTCACATGCGTAACTTTTTCAGGCGCTACTCCACATTTAGATGCTAAAGCCTTTTCTTGCAGTACAAGTCTTCTATCCTGTATTTTTCACTTAACATTAATCTATAATACTATAGTTACTTTCCATCATGCTACATTTATTGCAATTTTCAATGGCCGTAAACGTCTTTCAAGAAGGCTGACAGACTTCCATTCTACCCATCCACCTACCCTTATTAAGAGCTAAGTAAGTAATATACTATCAAACTACCTCAAACAAATCTGATACCTGCTTTTAAGAATCCAATTCTGTTTTTGGATATGAAGAATCCCTCCAATTTCCAGCTATTCTAAGTAAGCTATGAGGTAGGTATTTATATGTGTGTATAACTTTTCTCAATTCTTTATTATTTTCTTAGGAAAGGTTTCTCATAGAAATCTTACAATAGAGGTCCAATGGTGATGTACTAATAATGGCTGCTGATATACGTTATAAAATTGCTCTCTATAACACTTGTTTCTATCTGAAATGTCCAAGTAATGAGAGTTTTAACTGTATAATAATCTATACAAGGTATACAATCTATTTCTTAAAATAGTTCTGCCAGTTGGAAAATCAGAAATCTCTCAGGGTATTTTCTAAACTACTAATGAGACTGAATACATTGCAAATAACTCTTACTAAAAGTAATCTTTTAAAAAAAAATTGTAAAATAAAGGTAATGATCTTTTGTGATATATCTCTTAATGTTATTTGCTCTATCATCTTTTAGCACCTTAAATATTAATATATTCTAGCTTTTTCCTTCTCTTTATAAGGTTTAATAGCACATAGCAATGCTCTTAATATTTTTCAGTCACTGGAATGGCCCGGCCCAAAGGGCTGTAATGTTCTTTTGGCTAAACTGTTTTCAGAGTTTTAAGTTCATCTGTAGAACTGTATTGTCAGGTGCCCTTCAGAACACAATCCTTTGTTCCGCTATATCTCCACTTCTGCTTTAATCTTTTGTATAAGTTATTTTGGAGGAGCAGGGTACTAGGAATTTTCTGTTAGTCTTGTAGAAGTCACTAGTCTTTCACAAAAAAGGACAGATGAGCAACTCAGTGTGGAAAACACACTAGACATGAATCAAGTGTGAATGTGAATTCTGACTCTGTTGTTAATAGTTGCAAAACTCTGACACCTCAATTCTAAAATGGTGTTAATGATCCTATGGTGTAGGGCTGCTGTAAGGATTAGACCAGTAAAACACCTGGCATAGTATGTAATACTAATAATTGTTAGCCCCTTTGATTTTCCCACTTTTTTTCTGTAGCCTAGCTCTTTCTGTCTACTCATTCTTCTTTATAAAGTTTGTCTCACATCTGTTTTTAACATTAAGATTCTGGAGTTTCTTAAGGAAGTTCCTGAATTATTTTATTAAACTCTAAGATGCAGGTTAAAAATAAGAAGTTTTAAGGAACATTCTAAGCCAACTTTCCATTTCATTTTTGGGAATCAATTGTTTCTCATTTATTGCTATGTGTTACAAATACAGATGTAAAACACTGAGATCAAATGACTTAATTTTGAAAAATAATATAACTATTTCACTAGAAATAGCTAAATTCTAATAAGGGTGGCAAGCATCTCAAAATTTTTTAACTAATTAGTAATTTATTACATATTATTTTAAAAACTTTAAGATATCATTTAAAACATTTAAACTTCGTTTTGGGGGTACTCTAGAAACAAAAGAAATAGGTTAATATAAACCATGACAACTAGAGAAAAGCAATTCATTAGCATGAAATTTTCACAGAGACACAAATTTAAAAATAAATTTTAAACAAGTCCAAGAAATTGCCTTGTCATAAACAGACTATCAAGCATAATTCAAAATGCAGAAACAGCAGAAGAGAAACCAGATGATCGGGACATTCTGAAAATTAAATTTTTATGTGCTTCCAAAGACTTCTCCAAAAGAGTCAAAAGAGAACGTACAGATTGGGAAAAAATATTTGGTAATGACATATCTGACAAGGGATTTATCTCAATTTATAGAAAACTCCAACACCTCAATAATAAAAAGACAAACAATCCAATTACGAAACGGGCAGAAGACATGAATAGACACTTCACCAAGGAGGATATTCAAG